CTCCTGTCTCACATTACATCAATCAGTTGTTTGGCTTCCTTGCCCGATTTTTCAGATCAGGACCCTGAAAGAGCTCCCTCAGAGCAGGGCTGTGCACGAGGTGCTGCACAGAATCCTCAGCTGGCCCCTCTGCCCGAAACTAGAACATTGTTCAGATCCCACCTCCTGCCCACGGTTACATTAACTTGTGGTGATCAGGATTTGGAAGATGTATTTGTGTGTATAAAGCAGCTGATTTTGTTTAAGCTAGAAGAGATAGCCATTAAGTGTACAGGTACAAACTGCTCTCCCAGAGGGCTCCAGTTTGGTTTCCAGGACCCATATGAAGTAGCTCACAGCAGTCTGTAACTCCAGATCCAGGGGATGTGAGATTTCTGATCTCTGAAGGCGCCTGCACTCACGTGTACATATTCCCCACTCCTACCCAGCACATATATACATAATAAAATTGAGATAGAGGACCATCAAGTCTGATAAACTGAGTGGATCCCTGGGGCCCACATGGTGGAAGGAGAGTCCTGAGTCTCACAGCTGTCCTCTGGCCTCCACATTAATGCGATGGCAATGTCTCCCTCCAATATAAGTATGTGCATAGAAAGAGAAAAATGGGATAAAATTCAAATCTGTTGATGTGTACCTCTGTCTTGGTGCTGTGACTTTGTTTCTGAGGTGTTGGCCTCACTCTCCAATGCTTCATCATTTCAGTCCTGCGTCCTCTCTTGGGGCTACTCTCCAGTCTATGCATTTCTTTTGTTTGTTTGTTTTGTGTTTGTATTGTTTTGTATCAAGGGCCTTGCTATGTAGTCTAAGCTGGTCCCAAACTCTTGGGTTCAAGCAATCCTGCTGTATTGCATTAGCCTCCTCACTAATCACCATGACAGTTTACACCCCAAGTTTTGGTAAATGTGTAATTGCCACCTGAATTATGGTGTGTGATTTGACTCCCAAATCTCTTTGAATACCTTTGCAGTATATCCCACCTTCAAGTGTCAATTTCTTTTTAAAAGTAATAAAAAATGTTATGTGTATGCGCGTTTTGTGTGCATGTTCTCCTGTGCACTGCACCACTATGTGTTTTGGTGCCCAAGGAAGCTGGAAGAGTCTTGCTTCTCTAGAACAGGAATTACAGATGGCTGCGAGCCACCATGTGGGTGCTGGGAATGGAACATGGGTTCTTTGGAAGAACAACCAGAACCATTAACCCATGCTATCTCCTCGGCCCCTCCAAGTGTGAATTCTTAGCACTATAAATTAGAATTATCTGCTTTTGGAAATTTGAATATCATCATGTGCTCTTTGTGTGTGTGGCTTGCTGTGCATGGGGGCAGTATTGTCAAAATTTATCTTAAAAGACTTATTTTAAGTGTGTGTGTGTGTGTGTGTGTGTGTGTGTATGCAATACATGTGTGCACACATACACAGAGGCCAGAAGAGGATGTTTCATTCTCTGGTACTGAGTCACAGGTGGTTGTGAGCCACCCCCACATGTGTTGGGAACTTCTTTTCTAGAGAAGCAAGTATTCTTAATTCTGGAGCCATCTCACCACTTCCGCATCTTCTGTTTTTTTTTTTTTTTTTTTTTTTATTTTTGAGACAGGGTTTCTCTGTAGTTTTTGGTGCCTGTCCTGGAACTAGCTCTTGTAGACCAGGCTGGCCTCGAACTCACAGAGATCCGCCTGCCTCTGCCTCCCGAGTGCTGGGATTAAAGGCGTGCGCCACCACCGCCCGGCCGCATCTTCTGTTTTTTGAGATGGTGTTCTCCTCTGTTTAGGATGACTTAGACCTTCTGGGATCAAGTGCTCAGGTGTGTGCCTCAGTACCCAGCAGGATTCATAATTTCATTTTACACAGTTATCTCTTTAATAGTAGCTGAGTATTTTATCTTGTGGACACATGATGATCTGTTTAGTTTCCATGTTGATGGAGTTTTAAAATTATTGGTTGTTATGAATTATGATGCTATGAACATTCATGTATAACTCTTTGTGTGCCTGTTTATGTGTTTTTTGATAAATATCTCATGATCCGGTGAGATGCCTGGGTTGTAGAAGTGTGTGTTTGACTTTAGGAGAACTTGTCAAACTTTCCTCCAGAGTGCCTGTACCAGTGTGTACTCCTAGTGCCACGCGTGTGCTAGTCATGCCCATGCTCACAGCACTGGTACTGTCAGTCTTTTAAAAGGTAGCTATTTGTCAGCAATTTCTTCCTGAGGACCTTTCTGTTCGCACCTTGCAGAAACAGTTCACTGACATGCCCATCACACTGAGTTCTCTTTCAGCCTCTAAGGTCTCCATGTCTCTGTGCTTCAGGTCACTGTTTCCTGACATGTAGGATGTGGGAATCACTTGGGAGTTTTCCAGAATACCCAAGCCCAAGTCTCATGAACATACTGTCCCTTTTCCCCAGGATGGAATATAGGTTTATGCAAGTTGAGAAATTCCCGCAATGATGCACAGCCCTAACTAAAAGCCACTGCCCAGCTTCTACTTCCTCCAGCAGGGGCCTCTTGACCACTGTCACATTTCTCTTCCCATTGCTGTGCTAAGACAGAGAAGCAATCAGGTGTTTATTCAGGCTCACAGTTGAGGGGTACAGTCCATCATGGTGGGAGCTAAGGTGGCAGGATCTTGAATCACCCGGTCACATCACATGCACACTCAGGGAACCGAGAATGAGGAATGCATGCTGTTACTCAGCTCCATCTCTCCCCACACACAGTGCAGGGCACACTGCACGGGAAATGGACCCCTCACAAGTAATTTGATTTACCCATGTCAATACCTGTAACGAGACAATCCCTCACAGACACTCTCATAGGTTAGCCTTCATAGATGATCTCACAGGTGTGCCTGGGGGCTTGTCTCCTAGGTCTCTCAGGATGACAGTTGACACTGTCCACCATAACTACCCATTAATAGCATCGGCAGATTTAATGTTACCAGTGTTTGCATTCCCTTGTAGATCAATTCAATTAGAAGATGTGAATGGGGCCTGGGCATATCTAACTATTCCTCACGGATTCCAACATGTAGCCATATTTTCCTGTATCCCATTAGATTTCTCTATACACTCCCCTTGTGTTTTGGGGATTGAACAGAGAGTCTCACACTCCTGGGCCAGTGCTATGTTACTGAACTGTGCCTCAGCCCCCATTTCTCTGTGTACGTGTGGTATTTGTCCCTTTCAAATTTTGTGTTATTGTTATTTTCTGTGTCTTGTGTCTTAAGGATTTATGTTTCCTAGAGAAGGACCCCATCTTAGAAGATAGAGAATTTCTGTACCTTTCAGGAATCCATACGTTAGTCACCAAGAAAATATTGTCTACCACACAGTTGTGTCCTTCCTGAATCTGATGTCCTCACTTGAATGATCTAGAGTTTGATGTATGTGAAGTTGCTTATGATGAAGGGTGACCACAGTGAATGTGATGGAGAAATCGTGCTGCTTGGTGTCCATTTGTAGGCATAGCATTGGGACTAAGATGTCTATGAGTACATATGGTAGAGGCACAGGGATGTGTCCAGAGACACATCTAATGAGAACTGAGAATTGAGAGTGGTGGAGACGAGAGAACATGCTTGACATACAACATGTGTAGGTGAAAAATTAAAAAAATCCATTAAGGGAGTCAGGTCTGGTGCTCATGCCTTTCATCCTAGCACTTGGGAGGCAAAGGCAGGCAAATCTTTGTGAGTTTAAGGCCAGCCTGGTGTACAGAGTGAGTTCCAGATCAGCCAGAGCTACACAGGGAGACTTGTTTCAAAAACAAACAAACACAAACTCAAAATAAGTCTGAAACAAAGAAATCAATGTGCTGAGTGTGATGTGCTCTTTGTATGAGTATTTATTAGGAGGCAGGCACCATGAGTTCCAGGAAGAGGTAGGGGCTTGAGGTACACTTGCAGGAGCCATCTGCAGACACCTTTGGAGCTGAGCAAGGGGTGGGCACACGAAGTGTCTGAGGCCTGACTTGTGTCAGGATGCTGTATGTTGGTGGTGGATGCAACACGAATGACCCAAAAAGAAGAGTTGCTTGTGGTCATAGATGGTGTGAGGGTGACATACCCCTTTGAATCCAAGAAGTGACAGTGGCTTCATGGTGCTTCCAGTGTCTTGGGTATGGAAATGGGATAGGGGAAGGGCCAGCCACACATACATTGTCATTGTTTGCAAAGAAGGAAAAGGAGTTGACAGGGTAGCACTTGATGGAATTACAACTGATCTTATTCAGGTCAGAGGTTTAAGAGGAGAGGCAGGAAATTAGCAACAATCAAGGGACAGGAAGTGCTGGAGAGAATTCAGTGTGAGGCACATGTGGAGATTTTTAAACTGAAGGCTGCATGGCTGCCTTTGAGTGGCTGGAGCCACTTGGGTAGGAGGAATTGTTTACTATGATGGAAAGGACCAGAGAGGCTCTTTATTCCTGTAATCCCTCCTCTCTTAGAGGACTATAAACAGCTCTTTCCGGGCAGCTCAGGGCTCGGCTTGTTGCTTGCATGTATACTTTGTTAAAAAAGGTGCAATGCATGTACTGGCTATTTGGAATCCTAGTCTGGTTGGATGTTCACCTTCCTAGACCTGGAGGGAGAGGGGAGGAACTTGAACTTCCCAGAGGGCAGGAAACCCTGACTGCTCTTAGGACTGGAGAGGGAGGAGGAGAGGGAGTGGGGGGAATGGGAGGGTATGGGGAGGAGGGGAGGAAGTGGAAATTTTTATAAACAAATAAATAAATAAATTTGGAAAAAAAAGGTGCAATGCATTTAGCTAATTCCTAGACAATTACGTCAGAGAGCTACTGTACTCTACTTAGCAGAAGGCTCACTCTGGCCCCTCATCCAGCAGTTGTCTTCTACCTGTGAGGAAGACATTGTCTAGGTGGTATCAGATAGGGATGTATCTCAGTGTAGAGCATTTGCCTAGCGCGTGCAAGACCCTAGTATCCATCCTAAGCTTGGCAAAAACAGAAAAAAACAAAATACAGAAAACCCCACAAAGTAGCATTAGTGATATGTGATATTTTATTACGAACATAGGGGAAATTTACAAATACCTCTGATTTGGCTTTAGCCAGGCAAATTTGAATTAACCCAGAATGGAAAATATACACAGGCTGGAAGTCCCTGAGAGAAATCCCTGAGTACAAGAACTACAAAATAGCCGGTCAGTGGTGGCGCAGGCACATAGTCCCAGCACTCGGGAGGCAGAGGTAGGCAGATCTCTGTGAGTTTGAGGCTAGCCTGGTCTACAAGAGCTAGTTAAAGGACAGGCTCCAAAGCTCCAGAGAAACCCTGTCTCATAAAACCAAAATCAAAACAAACAAAAAAACCCCACAAAACTCCAGAATAACTGTTTTGGAAGGCCTGTTAGACACGGCATGAGAACAAACACATTATCCAATAAAACCCTTGATCAACTGGCACAGAGTGGGTGTACGTCTTGAACAGAGGATCCCTGAGAACACGTTGGCCTTTCCTTCTCCTGTTGCTGGGATTCATCCCAGGTGGGAAAAGTAGGTTTCTGAGGCTGTTGAAAGCCCAGGGCTGGGGAAGAGCACCCTGCTAGTATCCCACATTCCCAGTGGAACAGCAGTGCCGAGCTCTCTAGGCTGTAAACAATGCCTTCGGCTTGAGTGGCTGTGTTCCTTTAAGGGCACAATTCACGTGGACCAAACACTAGCAGAGGCCAAGGTTTCCTGAGAGTGCAGGGCAGTCAGGGAATGCACAAGCTGCTGAGTCTGGTGGCCTGCCCTGTAATCTCAGCAGGTGGGAGATTGTAGAAACCATTATTGTGATATTGAAGCCTGTTCAGGCTACATGCTAAAACTTTGTCTCCAAAAAAAATAAAAGTCAAAAAGAGAAGCCAAGGAAAGGCAAGCAATGCACAGGCAGAAACACTGTGGAAGGGTAGTTGGAGGCTGGTCCTGGGTCCCCAGAGGCTGGGTGGGAATGAGGAAAGTCTGTTGTTAGTTGTTGATACCGAGGAGAGTTTTTGTTAGAGTTATAAAGCAAAACAGCAAGGCAGACAAGCTGGAAATCTCAACATCAGCCTGGAGAGGCGTTGGAGTGGAGGAGGAATGGCTGGCCTTTGAGCCAGGCAAGAGTTCAGCTGGCAGCCTGCACAGGGTAGGGGCGGGAGAGCTACAGGGAGAAAGCAAAGAAGCCCAAAGTGTCAGAGAAATATTGTGTAGGCTCTGACCAGTGCCCAACAATAAAGGTGAAGACATGGAGAAAGGAAATGTCAGACTTTTCTGACGAATTCAGGGAAGTAGGAGGCTTAGGTCAACACTAGGCAGTGGTTCTGCAACTGATTTGCTTTGTTATTCATTTATTCATTTTTGGTTTGGAACTCTTGATCAAAAGGGATTGAGAGGCCTTTTGATCCTGGCCAAGGGAGCCAGAGGTACAGTGGCTTCTTGCCCCTAAGGCAGACCTATTGGCTCACACACTGAGCCAAGTCAGCAGTTACAAAAATTCAAGTAGTGGGTTGTCTTACAGAGAAGAAAACTCCAGTACCTCCAAACATGGCTTCTTTTAAAACAATCTCAATGCTCCACGTAGGGTATCTTTCTGTTGTTTTCAGTTTCCAGGAGACTGTCAGTTCACCAGCCCTGCCTTCTGGACTCCTTCCTGGTAGAGGCTAGAGGTGCTGTCTTTGCACCTGCACTCTGCGTTAGTAGTGGCTGTGGATGCTGCCAAAGAGCTTTGCTAGCTGCTCTGAGTGGGTTTTCTGGAGGAGGCTCAGAGGTGAGCTCAGGTGTAAATGCACAACATAAAGAGACGCTGATGCCACAGCCGGGCAAGCATGACAGCTGTCAGTGTGGAGATTTCCTGCAACCTCTGGCTGGGACTTGATCTTCCCATGCACGATAGCTTCACATTGAGCTTTAAAGACACAGGAATGCCCATTTCCTGCTTGTCCTTTGTTTTTGGCATAAGCACTTAGGTGACATCCAAGGTTATGGGAATTCAAGTCAGACTGTGCTAGGACAGGACTGGAGCTGGGGAGAATGAATGTGCTCTAAACAGGGCAATTTAAGACAAGCCATGTCTGGGGAGTGAAGGGCGGGCAGCTTTGATGCCCTTTTCTCAGTCAAGTTTCAATTCCAAGACAGGTTGGTTTCCCGTATACTCCAGAATACATTTTTCCTTCTACTGATGCTGCCGCCTTTAGTTGTGTGTTTGTGTGTGTGTGTGTGTGTTTGTGTGTGTGTGTGTGTGTGTACGTGCATGTGTTTCCTCATCTCTTGGTACAGAGATCTCCTAGTGAGGGAGAGAATTTAGAAATGCATCATTGGTGTAGCCAGTATGACAGGCCATGATCACTGCTTTTTTACTTCTGAATAAACTGTTTCTGTGGATCTTGGAGATGGGGAGGCTGAAGTTGGTGGTTTGGGTGTCTGGCCGTTGATGTTCAGGACGGTGTATGCCACTTCATCCACCTAAAAGTATGAGTGTTGGTCAGTGACACCAGGTCGCACAGGTCAGAACCTCACCTTGCTGGTGATCTAGCACCACTGTGCTGTGGCCTCTGTGCCGGGTGAGCCATGGGAGAGGACACCCGTCACTCACTGTCTGATGTGTGGTCACTAGAGGAGACAGGTTGAGGAGGAGGTGACAGAGCCATGGGGACTGAGGTGGAATCAACAGCGACATCCAGATGGGCCACAGAACAGTGCGCGAGGATGTGGACCATCCTGACCGCCACTGCTTTTTGTTGGGAAGTGACAGCAAAGTGTGTTTACGGGATGGGGGTGATTGTGAAGTCACTTAGCTTGCCTGCTGCTTACGAGTGTATTCAATCTGCGAGAGTTCACACTGTGAAAGTGTCCTTATGATTTAAAGCACTCTTCAGTCTATGCCTGTACTCGGTTGAAAAGCTACAATGATAAAATTTTGGTAAAATTGTTATATAAGAAAAAAACAGGGTCTCAGACCCATTAGAATGGAATCCATCCTTTTTATGGTCAGAGTAGGTTCAGATCGGAAGAAAAAGATGTGCTGCTGTCTCTGTGTGCACAGTGCTGTGCATGTGTCAACTCCTTTATTCCCTTGAGTCTCTTTTCTGAGGTGAACAGAATGCCCATTTCACAGGTGATATGACCGAGGATCAAAACGTTCAAGTTACTTGTCAAGGGACACAAATACTAGGAATCATGGTCAGGAATTAAGCACGGGGGGGGGATTTTTCCAAACACTCACTCTTGCATTAGACTCTTGGGGCTCATTAATCCAATCTTTGCTGCAGCACTAAGGAATGCAAACCCAAACTGAATTTCACAGTTATGTCTCCAAGAATACCTCATTCTCAGCCTGGTGTGGTGGCACACATTTGTCATCCCAGCACATGAGAGGCTAAGGCAGGAGGATGGTCACGAGTTCAAGGCCAGCCTGAGTTACATAGTTCAAGGGTAACCACGGCTGCTCAGTGAGACTCTCTCTCAACAAACAAGCACACAAACCTAAACCATACAGACAGCGCACATTCTTCAGAGACATTTCCATGAGCAAACAGTCAGTGAAAGTGGCAGTGCTTACCTTGTTAGGAGAGTTGTCAGAGGGGCCCAGATCTAGGGGAGCAAGAGAGAGTTGTCAGTGCATAGAAGTGCAAAGCTGACTTAAGGTGTCCTGACTTTTGGCAGGTGGCAGGGGTTGCAGGGGGAGGTGGCCATGGTCAGTTCAGGAATTAGCTTCCCTCAGAGGCCGCTCAGACCCACTGTGTTAGTATCAGAGGAGGAGCAGGATAGAGCCTTCTGTTTGCCCAGTTCACAGGATGCCCAGAGGTGATTCTCAGCAGCATGCTCCAGTGGCAGGGGGAGCATAGAGGCCACAGCACCCAGATATTCCATAAGACAAAGAAAGTCTCCCAAGGGAGATGTCTACGTCTATAATCGAGGCAGGAAGGAAGGCATCAGGAGACCCCTGGAAACGTGACTTCTTTAGGCCTGCCTAGCCTGGTGGAAGGAGCTTCTCAGGGCTCTCTCAGGCAACTCCTCTGTAGTTAGGAAGGGTATGATTTATGGGATCCTCAGTGCAGGGAAGTGCAGATCCCTTCTGCAAACATGCAGAAAGGAAGGTGTGGTCTTTGAGCCCAGGATCCCCTGGCAGAGCAGGATATGTGGCAGAAAGCCAGTTCTCATTCTGTGAGCGGCTTTACTTACTGTGGTTGGAGGCTGGGGATTTGTGCTCTGTGAGATCGCGCTGGTCAGTTCCCCTAAATAAATATCAGACACTGTAACCACTCTTCCCACACACAGGGCCTTTGCTCCTGGAGTCGGGGAGGACGCTGTGGGCAGCTCATTCCTGGGCTCCTTGCTGTCACTGAAGCTCCATCACCCCATTCTTGGCACTGCCTTCCCTCCTGAGGCCTCGTCCCTTAATCTAGGTGTGATCCCTGCTAGTGGTGTCCTTTGTCTTTGCTGGACTCCAAATCTGCTCTACTTTGTCCCCTGGTGCTGGGACCACACCCCGTGCTGGTGCTTTACTGCTGAGCTGTACCCTGGTGTGTAGCTCTCTTATCTTTGATGGATTGCACCTGCCCTATGTAACACCTGCCCTGCTTTGTTTTCTAAGGATGGTTCTGTTTTTTATATTCATTCTCTCTCTCTCTCTCTCCCCTCCCTTCCTCCCTTCCTCCTTCTCTCTCTCTCTTCTCCCTCCCTCCTTTTCTCTCTCTCTCTCTTTCTCTCTCTCTCTCTCTCTCTCTTCTTCCTTCTTTATTTCTGTTTTTTTTGGGGGGGAGGGGTGTTGAGACATAGTTTCTCTGTGTAGCCCTGGTTGTCTTGGAACTCGCTCTGTAGATCATGCTGGTCTTGAAGTCACAGAGTTCCGCCTGCCCTCTACCTCCCCAGCACTGGGATTAATGGTGTGCTCCACCACCACCTGACTTTTTTCTACCTATTTTTTTGACCAGTAGAACTTTAATGCTTCTGTTACTTCATTTTAAGGTCCCTTCTCCCTCTACCCCCACCCCTCGCTGCTGCTACAGAGAGACTTGCCACCTGCATCTTCCTGCTGCTCCTTGGATTCCCTCACTTTCTTCTTAGAGCTTGGCTTCCTGTCTATCTATGTGGGAATGGAGTCCAAGATACAGGAGGACAGGGAACATGAAGACAGGGAGGCTGAACCCACAGGGTCAGTGCTGAGAAGCAGAGAGTTCGCAGAGGGGCAAAGAGATCCAGCTTAGAGGCAGAGGGAGAGAAATCCTTGCCCACTCCCAAGCTTTACACTAAGAGTTGGAGAACACAAAAAAGGAAAGACTGTCCTACCCGCCAGTCTTCCTGAAATAAAAAAAATATGCCAGGGCTGCGATCAGAGTCACCCCAGCCACAGATCCAACGACGATGCCGGCAATGGCACCCCCCGAGAGGCCAGAATTCCCTTGTGTTGGGTCAGCTGTCAGGGAAGGAAAAGACAAGAAGGAATGAAATAAAATGTTTTCCAGTGGTGTACCTGGGGAATTCTTAGCATGAGATGAAATTATTTCCATTTAAAGAATGAAAAAACTGAGGCTTAAAGTGATTTGTAAAAAGTACTTGAATCTGTATGGTTGATCAGAGACAGACCTGGCTACCTGACTTCACGGCCAACATGAGTGGTTGGAATAATTGCAGCTAGCATTCATTTTGCTTTCTCTCTCTCTCTCTCTCTCTCTCTCTCTCTCTCTCTCTCTGTAATATTTTGCCAAAAGTTATTGGTTATTTTTATTAAGTCTTTAAAACCTACAATGAAGCAGGTGAAGGATGTGATGTAACCTAGAACCCTAGCATCAGAGGCTGAGACAGGAGGATTGTGAGTTTGAGGCATGTCTGGGTCATATAATAAGATCCTTGCCTCCCTAAAAGCTCCCCCAAGCTAGTGGTGGGAGGGAAATAAAGAATAGATTGAGGATGAACAAACAGACTAGAGTAACAATAGAGAAAGCTGATGCACCGAATGTTGGCTCTTCAAAAATGGTTAGCAATATTGCTAACCTTTTCCCACATGAACTTTTGAAAAAAGAGATAGCTATTACTAAAATTTGAGACCTTACCATCCATTCTCAAGGATAAGAAAACTTTCAAGAGCACTCAATAGTTATGTGCTAACTGTTGGGTGGCTGAGATGCAGCAGACAAATTCCTGAAAACCCAGATGCTTTAGAGACAGAAAGAAACAAAATAGTATAAATGTATAACTAGCAAGATTGAATGAAAACATTTGACAACATTTCACAGACTTAATGTCAGAAACACTGACACTGGGTAGAAGTCCTGCTTAGTCTAACAAAGGCCACACGTGGAAACCCATAGCCAGCATCATATTCCATGGGACACTGGCAGCTTTCTCTCTGAGACCAGGAAGCACACAGGATGCTGCTGTGACCACTTCTGTTCAAGAGACTCTTAGGACACACACCACACAGAACCATCAGGCTAGACAATGAAATAAAAGGTGCCCGATTATAAAGTGGTAAAATATACATCTGAGATGACACGAGCTTGATTGTATAAAATCCTTAACCTTCTATGGAAAGTCTCAGAGCTAAATGAGCAAAACTAGCAAAATTGTTGGCTCACAAAGTGAACGTGCCCAGATGAGCTGTATCTCTGCATACTAATATTGATCATGAACAGTTAGATTTCCTTTTCTTCCTGTCAGTAGTGGCGCTTGAACCTAAGGCCTCATGTACGCTAGGCAAGTGTTCAGTTACTGAGCAAGAGCCCCAGTCTTAACATTGGACAACTGGAAAGGAAATCAAGAAAGTATTTTACTTATGAGCTCACCAAAAAAGGACAAAATACTTAGAATTGACTCCATCAAAGAGATAAAAAACTTGCGCCCAGAAAACTACCAAATAAGAGATGATGAAAGAAGACAAGGAATGAAAGCCAGTGCGGTTGATGGGTGGTAAAACTTCATCTCATTATTGCTGTTTTGCAGTGCTGGGGATGGAACCTTGGGGTTTATACGTGATGAACGATGCTCTATTGTTGGACTATGCCAAATTATGCCTTTTAATTTTGATTTTGAAACAGGACGTCACTAAATTAATCAGGCAGACCTTGAATTGGCTATATTAGATACTCTTAGAACTTTGGTACCCTTGCCTGTCAGCTTCATGAGTGGCTGTAATTACTTTTTTTTAAAAAAAAGATAAATAACAATATTACTGAAAGTAATCTATCAGTTCTTTGCACATCAGATCAAAACCTCAGTATAGAAAGAGAAAAGTCCATTCTAGCTGTCCTGAACTCACTACGTAGACCAGGCTGACTTAAAGCTCTCAGAGATCCACCTGTCTGCTCCCAAAGTTGATGTTAGAGGTGAGTGCCTTAAAAGTATCTTAACAAAGAAGAATTAAATTTCAGGACATCCTTAGTGATTTCATAATATTAGTATAAAGCTAAAATAATCAAAATAAAGGCAGACATACAGATCAGTGAAGTAGAATTGGAAAGCCCAGAACTGCTCATGCACACTGGCCAATGATTAGATTAAAGATTAGTTGTTACTATGAATGTGTTTATGGGGCACAGTTTTTGCACATATGTTATAATGTGTTGTCAGACCCAAGCAGGTAGCACATCCATTACTTCATTTGCCATTTTCACGATTGTTAAGAAAATTTGTCTCTGCTGACTCCTTTGAATTGGTCAGAGTCACACAGGGTTGTCCTGCTGAGTTAGAGGACTTGGAAGACATTCTCGCTGTCCAACTGCACCTCTATGACCAGATGAGTTTTGACCAGGCTGCTAAGATTGTTCAATGATGGAAGAATAATCTTTTAAACAAGAGATGTTTGGGAAATTGGATATCTTGGCAAAAGAATGAAATTAAGCCTTCAGCTAACATCATATAAAAGTTAACTCTAAATGGATCAAAGACCTAAAATGGATCAGAGCTGAAACCTATGAGCCTTTCAGGAGACAGGGTGAAAGCGTCTTGAAACTGGGCTTGGCCTGGTTTCTTTGTTATGATGCCAGATGCATAGAAAACAATAAAATAGATAAATGGGATTTTGGCACAAAATTGAAAATGTTTGTGCATCAGACGATGTTATCAGTCATGTGACCCAGCAGGTCTTTGTGGCCTTTTTCACAATAATCAAGGATACTAAATGTCTATCCATGGATGAGTAAGTAAGGAGAATGTGATGTCTATTCTCATGGCTGTGCTGTTAAACATTTCAAAACAAGGTGGTTCTGTCAGTGCGGTTATGTGTAAGATCCTAGAGTACATGATGCTGAGTGAGATAAACCCTACACAGAAAGACAGTACATGATCTCTTTCAGGAGAATCTCACAATCTCTGTGGACAGAGAGAGAAGAATGAAGGTTACCAGAGACTGAGTGGCAGCAGGAGGGAATGGGGAGTTGCTGACCAAAATCACAAGGATTCAGACAGAGCAGAGGGTTAAGTTTTGAGAGGTATGACACAGCAGGCAGATTATAGTCCACTATAATGGATTGCGAAGAAATGAACAATAAATTTCAAATGTCTTAGCATAAAAAGGTAAGGGAAGTAACAGATGTGTTAAATAATTTGAATCAATCCTTCCAAACTGTATCTAGATATTGTTTCTCTTGAATGTATTCCATTATGACATCAATTTAAAAACCATTATTAACAATAAACAAAGAACTACACCAGGAAGTGAAAAGTCCACTTCAGAATGACAGAAAATATTTGTAAATAAACCATCTGACAAGAGGCCGATGTTCAGAGTGTGTAAGAAACTCCAGCATAGCAAACAAAAGCAAAGAACCCAGCTGAAATACGGAGGACAAGAGTAGGAAGGAACGGACTTGATAGAAAGTGTGTGCATGGCCAAGAAGCACACGGAAAGAGGCTCCACTTCACTTCTCAGTCACTGACCAAAGGGAAATCAAAGTCGCAATAGAGCACCATCCACATCTCTTAGGATGCATACCATTAAAATCACAGACAGGAAGCAAGAGCTTTGGAGTATATAAAGAAATTAGAGCTCTGGGGCATCGCTCAATGGGAGGGTAAAATGTAACCGTGAGCACAGCTCTGTGGCTCCTCAAAAGAGTAGAGAATTACATTCAACTCAATAGCTACATTCAGGATTGTAGGGGTGGGATAGATTACAAGAAGTTTTGGAAATGGACAATGATGGTGTTTACACAGCAATATGAATACACCTTCTGCCCCTGAGATGTACATTTCAGAATTCTACAGTGGGCAGATTTAAAAATTAAAGATGATTTCTATGTATGGGTATTTTGCCTTGTATGTCTCTGCACCATATGCACGCTTGGAAATTGAGGAGGACAATAGAGGATATGAATTTCGTGGAACTGTAGTTACACGCGAGATTAACATGCATCCCTCACCAAACTGACTGTTTTTCTCCTAGTGACTTTTATCTGTTTTGGACACTTCTGATAAAGAATCCCCCCCCCCCAACACTATGGGGTAAGAAGGGAGGGGAGGTCACTCACCTATTATGTCCAGCTGGATGGTGTCACTCCTCTCAGAACTGACTGGATTGGAGACCTCACACTGATACTCCCCGGAATCCTCCTTCCTGACAGGGTCTATGCTGAGGGTGCTGTTGTTCAGGGACAACTTCATTCTGTCCGTGAGCCCCAGACTCTGGCCATTGAAGAGCCAATGGATGGAGATCCCAGTGTCGTTTGAGGAGCAGGTCAGGGACACAGAGTCCAGTTCTTTGACTGTGGTGTTGCTGACTTGAATGGAGGGTGCAGTCACTGGCTCTGTAGATAAACAGTGGAGGGGACAGCTGAGAGTCCTTCATCCTCAGAGACCTCAGCCAGGTCACAGGGCCCACAGAATGACATGGCCCTCTGGAAGATTGCAAGTTTGGGTGCAAGATACAATCTGTAAAGAGAGAGCTGAATCTTCCTCCTACCCAGACTGCCCATTGTGACCCTTGACTCAGGGTATATGTGCAGGATCCACACTAGGAGCCCTTTCAGCACACATGACCACAAATGTCATGGTGGGCAGAATGTTTTCCACATTGATTTTTGTGCAAATTGTTGCTCACACTTTCTGTGAGTGTGAACAGTCAGATCCCTAATTATAAAATAGCCTTCTGTTTTTTTTTTTCATTAAGTAATGTGCCATGGGGTTCAGATGGCCCAGCTAATCTTAAAGGTGTTGAAGCCTACACCTCAGGGCTCAGAGAAATCCCAATCTAAGGAATTTCTGTTTGAAGCGGGCAGTGGTAGGAGGCAGAGGCAGGTGGATCTCTGTGAGTTTGAGGCCCGCCTGGTCTACAGAGCAAGTTCTAGGCAGGCACCAAAGTTACACAGGGAAACCCTGTCTCATAAAACCAAAATGAATGAATGAATGAATGAATGAATAAATAAGTAGAATTTCTGTTTGAAGAGAAATCTATTTCCTGCTGCATGGAGATGGGTTAACCACAGAGAAGTGAGTGGTCACAGAGTGCCGTTCACCACAGCCTGCTGCTCTAATCCTCCATACTCTACAGTCCTGGCTAGTCTGGAACTTGCTATGTAGACCAGGCTGGCCTTAAACTGAAAGAGATCCAGCTGCGTCAGCCTCCCAAAGGCTAGGACTTGAGTCCAACATCCTTGGCTCTCACCACAGATATCTCTGGACTTTCCTCGTGCACTCCTCTGCGTGGAGACTTGACAGAGCAGTCTCTGTTCTCCAAGCAGGTGTACTTCACTGTTCTCAACAGTCACCTCCTGTGCTGGTGGCCAGACGCAGTTCAGAGCCAACTAACCTGAAGGCCTCCTTTCCACTTTCCCATTCCTGACCTCAAGGGCTCTGATGTGCATCAGTGACGTTTTATTTTACTTTCTCTTTTTTTATGATTTTTTTCTTTTTGTTTTTTTCGTCGAGGGAGGGTCTCACTTGTAGGTTTGACTGACCTGGACTAACCTGGAATTTGCTGTGTAGACCAGTTTGGCCTTGAACTCGTATCGTCTACCTGTCCTCTCCCTCCTTAGCACTGGCATTAAGCACATGTACCACCACACTCAGTGGACTCTTTTTTTGTTTTTGTTTTCCTAGACAGGGTTTCTCTCTGTAACAGTTCTAGCTGTCCTGGAAATAGCCCCTGTAGATCAGACTGGCATTGAACTCACAGAGATCCCTGCCGTCCTCTGCCTCTCTCATGTGCCAGCACTGCCAGGTTCAACATTTCTAGTTTATTTATTTTTTTTTTTGAGAAGAGTAAGGGAAAGAGCATCATCAAATCGTCAGGGACATCGTTTACCCCGAGTCAGAACAGGGCTCCCAGGTGCCTTCACCCTCTTTTCCCCTCCCATGGAGTCAGAGCTCAGCCAGTCACCCCTGAGACAGGAGCAGAGCTGGGAGCAGAGCTCTGAACTGCTGGTCCCCATCTGTGGGGAGGGAGTTTTCTCCTCACATTTGGGGGAAAACAATGTGAGCACAGTTGAAAGCCCTGGGTGTCCCTCTGAGTGATGGAGGTCATAAAAAGAAAATGGAGGGGACAGGAAGGGCTGTGTTAGTGACAGAAAGAAATCTTGACCTTAAGGCTCTCCCTCCCCTGGGAAGTCCCTCTAACAATCTGAGGTTTCCAAGACTGGGAGAAGCTCCTCCTCACAGTCCAAGCTCCATCCCTACAGCCAGGAAAGTCAGAGCAGCAGCAGATCAGACATAGGGATGGAGCAGGATGCTCAGGGGAGAATGGAGTTTTGCTTGTTCCCATAGACATGGGCTGGAAATTAAATTCTTCTGCGTCTTCCCAGAAAGCCAAAAGACTCCACTTCAAACCTGTCGCTGATATTTCAGAGATCCACTTACCAAGGACTGTAATGTTCTTGACTGTGGTCTTATTGAGGCCAGTGACAGAGTTATAGGCGAAGCAGATATAGGATCCACTATTATTAGTAGTGATGTTGGGGATAAAGAGCTCGTGGGAGGATGACAGGAGTTCTTCATTGACAAACCAAGAATACTGTGCGGGTGGGTTAGAGGCTGCATGGCAGGAGAGGTTGAGGTTTGTCCTTAAATGAAAATAAGTATTTGAGGGGAATATGATCGGGACATCTGGACCATCTGGAGCAAACAGAACAAAGTCACATGTGATGTCAGCAGAGGGAAGGGCAATCCTGGTCTGCAGAAGGCCACATTATCTCTCTGAGCTGTGCTATAACCTCAGCTGAGCAGGTCCCACCCAGAACTGGGGTGCAGATCAGTAGAAGAGTATTCATGCAGCAGGCACAAGTCCTGATCCATCTCGAGCACAGCACACAAACATCCCCACTGCACACTCATGTATGCACTGAGCCTAAGCCTGTCTCCATCACCCTGAGTCTCAAACCCATTCCCGCTCAATGCTGGGCCTGGCTGCATGTGCTTGTGCTAGGCCAGCAGGTCCTGGCCAGTCTAGGTATCTGTGTGGTGGGTCTGTGTTACCAACCCAAGGGGACCGAGTGTCCTAATTCTAGCCTTTTGTATAGACAGATGAAGCCAGGATGAAGCAGACAATACTCACAAGTAATGTTCAGGGTGAATGGGTCACTTCGGGAGGTGCTCACTAGGTTCTGGGTTTCACACTCATAGGGTCCTGTGTCAGTCCTCACAACACTGAGTAAAGTGAGTGTCCTGTTGTCCTCAGACAGCTTCAGCCTGTTATCTTCTGAGAGGCTTTGGCCATTTCTCCTCCACAGGTAGCTTGTATTCTTAGTCTCAGGCTCACATATTAATGCTACTGAGTCCTCACCCTCCACAGGATTGGAATTGTTGCTTGTGATGCTGGGCTTGGGTAACAGTGCTGTGTGTGCAGACAACAGAGAGAAGGTTGCCCTGTGTGGTGGCTCTGATTCTTGCAAGGGCCTCTTTCATCAGATATTGTCTCTGATCTTCCCACAAACCCAGAACCTCAAAGAATCAGGGAGGAAGCAAATTGCAGGCAGATGGAGTAGCTGAGCTCTCAGAGACAGTGGGGTCATCTGTGCTGTGTATGGGAGAAGCAAGGGCTTTCCCAGGAGGGAATTGAGTTGCAGTGTGTGGTGATGGACAGACTTGAGATTTGGAATCACAGACCTCATGTTATCTCCTGGTCCTCACTGACCCATTGCATGTCTTGGGACACGATGTGTGAGTCCCTCCAGCTGCCCTGACCTCCACTGCTCAGTGAGGACCAGCGCCCTCCAAGCCTTTGCTGCTCAGGGCTCTCCTACAGATAGATAGGTCATGATTAGTCTTCCCATTGAGCTTCCCTGAGAACCTGACAGTCCGTCAGAGACTGCACACAGATCAGGATCTGGCTGCCATTCATGTCAGGCTGGGCTTCAGCTGGGCCACTCTTGTCAGGAGTTTGATGTTGATTGACATGAATCAGGGAACCTTAAAAGAAGCACAAGTCTAGGAAATGATCTATAAGACTCAGGGGCTATAACCCTAATAAGGCCTCCATGATGGGAAGGCTGGAGATGTGGCTGTGGACAGATAGCTTGTGCGACCCATGGCCTGTGTGACCCTGACTCAGTGACTGTGTTTCTTGTATCAGTTTCCCTAGAATAGGACACAGGGTAAATGATCATTGTCATGCCTGCAAGTTAACCTGAAATGTGAGCGATGACCTGACCCCTCCACCAAGCAGTGTCTCTTACTATTTGCCTGCAGAAAATAATTTCTGGGCTGGATCCCTGGAGGCAAGGAACAGCCATTTGTACACATTTCTCCCATCTCTTTAGGGCTCTCCACCTTCCTGTGAGATCTCAGAAGACCACCAGGACAGCTGACTGGTTGCCTTTCATACCCCTCCACCTATGCTGAGCACACTGAGTCTCAGGAGGAGATGCCCAGGTGACCTGCCTCAGACATGGCTCTCTCAGGCTGATGGTCAGCAGGCTACCAGCCTACAATCAATCATTGTCCCCTGTCAGCTCCAACAGGAGGTCAAATTCCAACCCAGTCTGCAAGCTTCCCAGAATTCCTGGTCCAGTCTGGGGTGGAGATATTGGGCAAACTTCAGGTGTTCATGTTTCTGTGTGAATCTCATGGTTTCGTAGGCCAGGCCCTGCCGGAGTCCTGGAGGGTCTTTCTCAAGGCCATGTTCATGATGAGCATCTAAGACCCTGGGCAGAGTCTGACAGCCTGGGCTGAGTTACCTCACCCCCTCTCTCTGAGGGTGGATTCCAGTGAGGGATCCTGATTTATTGCTGTTTCCTCCACTCTGTGTCCTTTACTAAAGGCTTGAGCCACACTGTGAGGATCATAACACAGTCATCCAGGACTGACAATTCTATGTGTGAAGTAGGATTAGGTCCACCCATGACCCAGAGGATACAGAGAATTACTTACGGTGGACATGGAACTGCACAGATAGTGTCTTACGGTCAAAGTTTTCCATTATCATGTGCAACGTGTAGGCTCCGGTGTCATTCTGAATGACGTTCTGGAAGAGCAGGGATCCATTGGGGTATATTGTCTCTCTGCCACTGTATGCAGGCCCTGTTGTAATTTCGCCAGGTGACGTTATAAATCGTGCAATTTCATTGCTATCCTGATTTTCTCCCTTGTACCAGTAAAAGACTTGGGGTGTCTCTTGCAGATTGTGGACGAGTAGAAGAACATTCGCCCCTTCAGCAACATGGGGCGGAACTGCTTCCACAGAGACTTGGGCCGTGGTGGGAGAGCTCCAGTAGATCAAAAGTGAGGCTAAGAGGAAAGAGAGAAAAATCTATCAATATTAGGTCTTTGCAATTGGTAGAAATTGAGACCTGAGCGTGTTCAACTCTCAGCCTCAGTGTCTGTGTGTCCTGTTGGAGTGAGGTCAGCAGCATCACCCCCATTCCTCAGTACCCCTGAATCTTTCCACTGAATGAAACTGTCTTCTCAGGTGTCTGCACATCTCACCCCTCACTGCCTCAGATCCTTTCTCACACTCAGAATCGTTGGTGAGTGTAGGCATGTCTTCTCTGACCTCCTCCTCTAAGGACTCCAGCCTTTATTTTCTGACCTTTTCAGCTCTGTTTCTTCGGAAATGCTTGTCAACCCCTGACCCCACCTTCTAGATGTCCTTGCTGTTCTGTCTTCCTGCTCCATAGCACCAGGACTGTGTGAGGAGGACTGGTTTAATTTTTGTTTAAACCCCACTGCCTGGAACAGGCTCAGATACCTGTGAGCAAATCAGTGTCCCAGAGCCTGGGGTTTATTTGCGGATTCCTCATGGTCGTATGTATAAAATGACCCTGTTTACCGGCCCCAGTTTGAGTTTCACTTAGAGAGTTACCCTGACACAGTTGTGGGAGTCAGTCTTCAGGGTACAGAGGCCAGTGCTGATAAACTTACTGTGGGGAACCCCTGAGCTTTTCCCTCCCCACTTACCAATTTGCATGCACTGCCAGCTTCCTGTTACTCTCAGGCTTCAAGCAGAAGCCAGATGTCTCCTCAGACAAAGTCCCCCTCCCAGAAGACCCCATCCAGTCTCTGAGCTCCCCTGCTGTCCACACCCCTGAGGAATGTCTCCTCACCTGCCAGCAGGACTCCCCTCCAGGGTAGCTGCCCTTTGTGGAGAGGGGCTGAGGAGAGCTCCATGGTCTCTGCTGTGGCCTAGGCTCTTCCTCTGGACAGGAGGTTTGCCTCTCAGGCTGCTGGCAAGTCAGCTTGCTCTGGTGTCTGCTCTGTTTTTCTTCCAGAGCCTCCTCCCAGAGGAGGAAGCCTCCTGGAGTCACATGGTCTGGGGGTGGAGTCTGTGTATCAGTGCTGCCTCCCTTCCTTCTATTTCTTTCTTTCTGGTTCTGTGTTCTAGAACATACTTTGAGCCACAAGGTTTGGAAGTGTCCTGTGCCCCTAGAGAACAGTGGCTCACCCCAGGGCCTTGTCCCTGCACTTCCTATAGCCAAGAGTGTATTTCCTTGTGACACAAAAACCCAGCAGAGCCCAGTCTGTCCTGTGATCTCAATGCTCTGGGAAAGTGGGAGTTACTCCAGGGATGGAGTGGCAGTTATCTCTAGGGGCTGGAAAAGGTTTGAGTGTTGACTGGGGAGGGACCCGATCCATGGTCACTGCTGTCACCAGTCAGGTGTCTGATCCAGGGATACAAGTTATCTCAGGAGTTCACATCCCTGCGTGCAGGAGGAGGTGACCTGTGTGTCCTTGAAAGAGGACTGTGTGCTCCAGCTTCCTATGGAGAGCCCCGGGGAGACACCCCTCCCCCCAGCTGCCTGTGCTGTCTGAATGTGAATCAGGTCTGCCCATGCCCTCCCTGACCCTTCTGGGATGTCTTTGTTCTCCTTGGTGACTGCCCTGTGATCTCCCCATCTTTCCTCATGGGTGGTGCGAGGGAGAGGGGACAACATAGGGTCTCCTTGTAGAGTTGGGTTCTCAGAGGCACAGGAAATGATTATGTGAGGGAGCTCCAGGTCTGTTGGAACTGGGATGGAGACAAGGCTGCAAGATTTCAGGCCTCAGGGAGCTTCCCTGCTGATTATGTGGTTTCTTGTCGCCCCCTGGCGTCCATGAGGAGACCTGCAGCTCATGTCTGTGCTGTCACAAGGATGGTAGCCAAGCCCCAAAGGCTGTAGTGGAGCTGAGCACCAAGTTTCCCAGGGAAGGTCCCAGTGTGCAGCTGCCTTTGAGGACCCAGTTAGACTTTTGCTGGAGACTATAATAGCTGAGGTGAGACTCACTGCGACTTTGATCTGCAGTTCCCTGAAGACTGATGGTGTTGAACCCCGTTTCCCGTGAGTTCATTAGCTTTTTGTACATCTCGTTCAGGGACAGGAATATCCAAGGCCTTTGCTCACTCTAAAATAGCTTTGTTATGACTTTTAAGTTTTAAAGGGAAGTACATTCATCCACCCAGAAACCACATTTTAGAAATATTACATAAAATATAATGAAAATCAAAGCAAACCAAATCATACAAGCTTCTCAGTGTTGGTAATTCCGGGTGTGTTAGTTTTCCAGATTCAGGGCCAGTAAGTCTGCATTCCCAGGAGTTCACCAAAATTCCCTGATTATGATGATTTAAGCATACTTTGGACAGCCTTCACTCTCCACAGTTTTTACACCTAGAATTATTGTTTAGAGAACAATACACCCTAAGTTGGTAGTACTTATTTGAATTGCATTGTACAGAGACATTTAAATGATGAAACCATACCTTCAAACATGGTCCTCCAGTAAGGTGGCAGCACAGAGTCACATGTGGATATTGCTTGTTAAGGGCCTGTTTTACATCTAAACTGTGCACATGTTGAGAGAGCATTCAGAGGACCCACAAAGTACAGCATGTATGTGAACTCATTAGGGAGTGTTTTGTCTCTTTAAAATTTCATGTTCTCCATGAAAAAGGAAATCAGGAACACGAGGGATGCGTTCACCCACTGATACAAGGGGACGGATCTAATGAGAGTTCACCAAGTCCAGTTGGACTGGGACTGAACGAGCACGTGATCCAACCAGATTCTCTGAATGTGGCTGGCCTGGAGTCTTTCTGAAAAGCCATTGACAATGACACTGGGACTTGTTTCCTCTGCATATACTGGATTTTTGGGATCCAGTCTGTTTGGATACTCACCTTCCTGGACCTGGAGGGAGGGGGGAGGAATTTGAACTTCCCACAGGTCAGGAAACCCTGACTGCTCTTAGGGATGGAGAGGGAGGAGGAGAGGGAGTGGGGGGAGTGGGAGGGAAATGGGAGGAGGGGCAGAAATGGAAACTATTATAATTTAATAAACTTTGAAAAAAAATTTCATGTTCTCCTTCCTCAATGTTGCACAGTACCTCTGCATATTTAATAAAATGTTTACATGCATACATTATAGGCTAGGATCCACATACAGGTGTTTCCCCCCCCTGACATTGGGTGATCTCATTTAACTTTATACATTCTAAGTCTACCAACTTTCTTTAAATTTTGTGGTTTCATTTTTCTCTAGAGATGAATAATATTTCATTTGGTATATGCACTAGACTGGCATCATGCACTCATCTGTTGGTGGACATCTAGATTGGCTCCATCTCCTTGTATATTGAATTGAACAGCAGTATTCATGGGGGTGTAAATATTGTGGGGTACAGGATCTTTGGGTATGTGCCCAGTGAAATATCTATGTCACATGGAACTCCCACAGACTTTATAGAATGACTGCATCAATTTGCACCCCCACCAGCAGTGAACTAGTGTTCCTCTTTCTCCACATCCTCTGCAGCACTGCTGTCAGTTATTGGGGTGACAGCCGTTCTACCTGGGTGAGCTGGTGTCTTGCAGTCATTTTAGTTTGCATTTCCCTAATGTGCAGGGGTCACTGTTTTCCTCAGTTTTACTGTTGTTTACTCTGAACACAAAAGCCATATCGTATATGACTTACAAATATGCTTCTCTGTTGTCTAGGTTGTTCTTTCAGTTTGTCGTTTTAATTCATAAACTTGCTGTCTGAGGGCTGCTATTGCTGTGATGAAGCACCATGATCAAAAGGAAATTGGGAAGGAACAGGTTTATTTGGCTTACACTTCCACATCACTGTTCATCACTGAAGGACGTCAGGACAGGAACTCAAAGAAAGCAGGAACCTGGATGCAGGAGCTGATGCAGAGGCCATGGAGGGTACTGATTACTGGCTTGCTCCTCATGGCTTACTCCATCTGCTTTCTTACAGATCCCAGGATCAGGAGCCCAGGGATGGCTCCACCCACAATGGGCTGAACCCTCCCCCATCAGTCACTAATTAAGAAAATGCTCTTCAGGCTTGTCTATGACCCGACCTTAAGGAGGTATTTTCTTATTAAGTGTTCTCACATGACTCTAGGCTGTGTCAAGTGGATGTAAAATTATCCAGTACGCTCACTAAGTAAATTGGACTAGAGCATGAATGTCAGTACTCTTTCACAAAACCAACTTTGCAACTTTAGATTTTTAAAATAATTTATTTATTTTATTTTATCTATAGTGGATTTTTTCCTGCATGTTTGTCTGTGAGAGGGTGTCAAATCTTGGAGTTTCAGACAGTTGTCAGCTGCCATGTGGGTGCTGGGAACTGAACCCAGGTCCTCGGAAGGGGAGCCAGTGCTCTTAAATCCTGAGACATCTTTCCTCCCAAGTTTAGTTTTTCATACTAAATTCTTCTAGAATTTAAAAATAAATCCATATTTCACATGCAAAAGTTTTCAAAATATTAAGTTTTCAAAATACTTTTGTGTCTTTTAAAAATTTAAAAATATTTTTGTGTCCTTTAGTTTCTCAGAAAGCCTTTGGAAGGTAGACCAGTTCTCAATTCTTTTTTTCTCTTTTAAGGTTTCAAAGAAATGGTCAGGAGGAAATTTTGTGTTCTAAGTATTTTTCTTTTTCTTCAAAGAGTGAAGAGAATTGGAGCCACTACTTTACAAAATATTTCAAATTGATTATTTGACAATTTCATAGGCATACTGGCACTCACACACATACAAATGTATTTTTGTCATGGGTAATCCCATTACTCTCTCAACAATTCCCACTCCTGCTGAACCTTTCTTCCTAAAATGCTCCCCTACTAGAACCTCCACATTGGTACAAAACCCCAGACCCACCCACCAACTCCCTAGGCTTTTCTAGGCACCCAACATGGAGTTTCCTGTGGGTAGACTGCCCCAAAACCCAAACCCATCCAGAGGCTCATCCAAACTACTAGCCACACCCTGCCCCCAACCTGCCTGACCTCCTGCAATCCCGGTGGCACTCTGAAACATAGCTTGCTCCAATACTGAGGGAACTTTAGGGGGTGAGTGAACAGCTACATGGTGGGACATCCCACTCTCTAGGACCTCCACAGTGGAACAAAACTCCAGAGGAACCTCTCCCAACTCGCTAGCCTTTTCTAGCCAGTCATCAGGATGTTTCCTTCAGTTAGGCTCCCCCAAAACCCAAACCCATCTACTGGACCCCCAAGCTAATAGTCACACCCCGCCTAGGAGCTGAGAGCTTGCTATAATACTGAGGGGACCAAGAGCTTTCTACAACACTGAGAGGATTAAGAGAGAGCACAAAGAGACCAAACCAGGAGAGAAGACCAAAAGAGCAAGTATATAGAGACCTCAGAGGCTTTCTCAGACAGACATTGACAGTACGGAGCAGACCAAGAAAACTCTCAAACACTCAGACAGCCACTGCAAGGATTTCACCAAGACGTAAAGAACCTGTCAGCCTCATTTGAAGAAAGAGGTGGGCAGGCATCAATGGAAGAATTCCTCCAATAACCCGAAAAACAACATAGTAACACCAGAACTCAGTGGTCACACAACAGGAAGACTCAATCATCTTAACCCAGAGGAAGTAGAAGAAAACAGCTGGAAATGTAACTTTATGAAAATGATAGAGACCTTTAAAGAGGAAATGAAAAACTTTCTTAAAAATGGAGGAAAAAACATACAAAAATGGAAGAAATTAATAAATTCCTCAAAGAAATCCAAGAAAACAAACAATCAGTCAGGTGAAGCAAACAGTTCAAGACTTGAAGACTGAAATAGAGATAATAAAGAAAACACAAACCAAGGGAATTATGGATATGAAAAATCTTGGTAAATGAACAGGAACCACAGAGATAGGTATAACCACAGAATACAGGAAGAAAGAATATCAAGAGCTAAAGATACTATAGAGGAAATAGACTCATTGATCAAAGAAAGTATTAAATCCAAAAAATTCTAACACAAAACATTCAGGA